GGGAGGGAGTCCTCCCGCCCTGGGGAGGCGGCGGGTCTAGCGCAGCCCCGTCCCGCCGCGACTTCTCAAAAAAGGCGAGCAAGCCGATGGGCTTTTGCTGCGGCCCTGTGCTTCCCGAGCGCTTTCAGGCCAGCGTGTTTGATCTTGTGAGCCGCCGGTGAGCAATCGCGGGTGCATTGCGCGAGGAGCAACGTGTGAAGCGCTGCGGCTTGCAGGTGTCGATACCGATCTCAAATCCGTTGTGCTCCCTGGTGTTTGAGTAAATAACGCACGGGCAGATAGTTTGCACCTCTTAGGCTGTGTCTGTGGTACTTTCTCAGGCAGTCGCTGCCATCCACGCCTTCTGTGATTCTTCTCCCTGCCTTGTTTTTCTAGATCTAAAAGTATAGAACAACAGTTATGCAGTCGTTTTAATCTGTCAAGTCCATGTTGTTCCCAAAATGAGTCCTGTTGCCAGAGCGACTGTTCTTACCCTGTTTAAGAGCACCCAGTTACGTAAGTCTGTCCTTCCTCTGCAAGGCCTGGCTTTCCCTTAATACCCACTGCTGGCCTTGCCAGTGTTTGTGTGGTGGTAAGGGTACGCCGGGAAAACAGCCTGTCAGAGGACTACTCTGCGAGGGAGCTGAATCAGTCCTCTGAGCTGCGTTTCCATGTGGGCGTAAAAATCCAAGTGTGGGCACAAAGGAGGGAATGGTTACAAAGGGCAGCGTAGGCCCTTGTAGGAGAGGCACGGAAACTCTTCACGTGAAAGCGATTAAATAGTTAATCACCTCAGGTCATGGTTCGGGGACAGTTTAGGATAACCTAGTAGTTGCACTTCTACCCCTCACCGCCCCATACAAAACCTTGTCTTCCAAAGCTCTGGCACTTCTCTGATGGCACAGTGAGCTCGAGTAAAGAAGCTAATCGATAGAAACTTAATGGATGTTGACACAGAAGGTAAATCACGCTGATTCAAAATACTACGTCCAAATTGTCTTGAACTGCTTTCGCAGCTAACGTAATACGTTGTCTGTTTACTCTGTCTGCTTTACAGCCCAGTATTGTAATATAAGGTCATATTGTATGTCTACTCCTTAGGGCTTGGATTCTTTGTATGACAGCAAGCTGAGCCAAATAATTAATATTTTCTAGTCACAAGAACTTAAAAATTTCTAAATCACATAAACTGACAAAGTGACATACTCAAGGTAAACAACGGAGCTTCCATAAAATGTCTCAAATTATGTATTCTGGATCAGTAGATAGTTTTGAACATCTGAATATCTGAAATAGCCTTTGCTTTTGCCATTGTTGAAATCTCATCATAACAAAATGTTTCTTCTTCATAACTTGATAGACTGTTAAAATAAGATACTTTATGGTTAGTGCAAATCGAAATAATTTGAGTATTACAGTTTATCTTTTGCATGCTAATATAACTTTCATTGCAGAAGTCCTTCCAGGTGAAAGCAAAAGTGGGAATGTTTTATGTTGTTATTCCAATGATTAGCATAACAGTTCTGTTGTGTTTGGGTTTTTTGGGTTTTTTGGGTTTGGTTTTTTTTTTTTTTAACGGCTGTTAGCCCAACAAATTCATCTTGGAGTTTATAGAGTGGGTTTTTTCATGCTCTGTGGTACAAAAGCCTTCTTAGACCAGCAACAAGCAAAAACATTATTTCAGATACAAGAAGTGTTAAGTTGTATGACTAAAAAGGACAAAGCTGGGAGCTCTGTAGGTTCTGCTAAAAGTCAGTAAGACAGGATTTTCTCGCTTCTCTGGCCATAGAGAGGAATCGGGTTTTTACCATACATATCTGGTGGACAATAAAATCAAATCCTGCTTAACCAAGATTTCTGAGATGTAAAAGTGATCTTAATCACCCGGTTTTAAGTTTGTTAATGTGATAAACAGTGCTGTTCTCTTTCTTAGCATCAACCTTAAGATGAGTGGCTGTCGTGTCTTCGTTGGACACTTAAGCTCACGCGCTCGGGAACGGGATGTGGAGAAATTCTTTAAAGGATATGGACGCATACGAGAAATCCATCTTAAAAATGGATTTGGATTTGTGGTAAGTGTTACCTTATTTTCCTTTCTCTTGCTTGCAGGCACTAGCTTTGCTAGGTTGGTATCAAGGAAGGGAAGAGAATAATTAACTAATTCCAGTGGGAAAAGGAAAATGTTAATATACATTTCAGATTGCTATTCAGATGTTGGGATTACAGTTTTACCTGGTTTTGGCCGGATTTTGCTCAAAATCTTGGTTATATTCTAGCTGCATTAAGTGGTCATTGTCTGATCATAGTCTTCCATGGATTTAAGTTTTATCCCTTATTTCTGAAGACAGTATAAATATCCCATTATGGCATTACAAAACTTGACTAAGTCTCGACCTGGAGAAAAGTTTATACAGAGTCACTCATGTTCCTCTCTCTCTTCTAGTCTGCTTGGGCATCTCTCTAAATAATGGCCTGACATAAAAGCAAAGTAGTTGGCTAAGACAGCAGGTGTAATTGGTGCTTGCTGTTGGAATTATGCAGCACAGCTTTTAACTCTTGTGCAGCTAAAGTTAGGCACGTTCACCATCATGTATGTTCACAGGGCGTTTGTGTCTGTTAATGAAAATGAAACAATAAGTGAAATACACAGTTCATTGGATCTTCATTTCCTACTACTGCTTTCTAGAGCTCTATGCTCCTATTGTCCAAATTTTTACAGCTTTACAGGTTCCCAAGTTGACTGTTTCTTAACTTTTATGTCCTGAGAACTGAGAATTGGCTATTCTGCAGCACTGAGTTCAAACTGGAAAGGTTGATGCTGCCCTTGCACTGTGGCAGGCTTACATGCCATTCGTTCTGCCGAGATCAATCCCTTGAGTGAAGCTATGGGAAAAGAACAAAAACCCCAGGCTTTGCCTGCTTTAGTTTCATAGGAGTATTCTTGACTCCTACATGTGCCAGTTCCTGATTGCCCTGCAGTATGAGCTATTTCTTGTTGACTGCCGGTAGGTAACTACCTGCCTCTTAAAGTCTGGAGGTAAATGGCCAATCTAGACGTGAGCCTGAGTTTATTTAGTGCGTCCTTTCCAATTGCTGCTATTTCTCAATTGCCTTTCCCTGAGCATTCCTCTGATCTTCTTGGGCAGGGCTGTTGACTCATTCAGGAACAACTTCTGTTCGACTCGTGTACATGAGTCAGCCAACCTTCCTTCCTCTCTTCTCCAGTTCCGAGGCGGAAGTATTTTCTTTTCAAAGCTCAATAATAAGCTTGAATAATCGTCCCATAACGCTGTCTAAAAAATGTAATTGTTCTCACGACGAAGAATTTTTTCCTTACATCTGAACAAAACTTTCCCCTGCTTTGCCTGTCATCCTGTTACTGTACACCCACATGAGGAAAGCACTTCCATCATCTCTGTAACTGTTTTAGGTATTGGAAGATTCTGACTAGATCCCATTTGAGCCACCTTTTCTACAGGCTGAACAAACATGGTGCTCTCGACCTTTCTTTAGCCTTCTGGTGGCCCTGTGTTGGTCCCACTCCAGTTTTTCAATGTCTGTCTTGAGCTGGAGGGACCAAAACTGGACAAAGTGTTCCAGGTGTGGCCTCACAAATGCCAAGTAGGGTGGAATAATCACATCTGCTGGCTGTACTCTTACTGATGCAGCCCAGGACACGGTTTGCTTTCATTGCAACAAGGCTGCACTGCTGGCTCATGCTTAGCTGACTCTGTTGGCTATGATTTCCGTGTCCTTTTCAGCAGAGCCACACTCCAGCCACCGAGATCCTGGCCTGTTCTGCTGCTTGGGATTATTCTATCCTAGGTGCAGGATTTCAGATTTATCTTTTGTTAAAACTTACGATTCTTGTTGGCCTAATCTTTCAGCATATCAAGGTCGCTCTGTGTGGTAGTTTTTCCTTCTGGTATATCTGTTTCTCCTTCCACTTCGGTGTCAGCCACAAAATTGGTGAGGGTGCACTCGGTCCTGTCATCCAGATAATTTACAAATACATTGAATAGTAGTATCCTTTGCAGTACCTCACTTGTGATAGGCTGTCAGTTCATCTTGGGTTTTGGTTATTCTGTATTAAAACTCTTACAAAACCAAGTGATTTTGATTGAACATTGTTGTTGTGTTAAAAGCATGTTTCATTGCACTTGATCTAAATCATTGCTTGATCTTTGAAACTGATTAAATTTACTTAAATTCTGTAGATTTCAGTGCAGATGTTTTCAAACGTTACATCATAAAGCTAGTATTTAGAGCTAGATAGACTTGCAAACATTCAGTTAGTTAGACACTAGCAGAAATCATGGTAGTAGGTGCTATTGATACTCTTAAATGCTGGGCCTGAATGAATTTTCTCAAGATAATCTTTGCATCATCGTGCAGGGATGTGTGATGTTTCACTTGGTAATGAAACAGATTTCGGTGCAGAGGAGGGAAGATTGCTTAATCCAGTATTGCTTCTGAAAAGCTGCTTGTAGTTATGCAAATGCTTTCTTCAACTTGAGAAGCTGCTTCTCTGTTCTTCATTGCTCTCAAGACACACTTCCACAATTGTTTTTTCTCCATCCACACTGTTGGTTCAAGCAGTTCCTACCCAGCTGCTTGGTCTCACTGCTTTCTTTCTTTCTTTCCTTTCTCCCCTTGCCTCACATGGTGTTACCACAGTTGTTCAGCCACGTAATGAACCTACCTGGGAAGCTGATCTAGTTGAAAAATAATGCTGTCTTTTTCACCCCACCTCCTGCACAAAGTGTGCTGTTATTCATCTGGATAGGTTTCTTGACCTAGTTTTCTGCAGAGCTGTACAGTCGGCTTTGCCAGGAACCAGTGGGCTGGATAGTGGGCAGAGGCTACTCGGGCTGACTAAAGCAGTATTGCTGCCAAAAGAAAAGCGACAGATTCCATTGCAGCAGTGTATGGAATTGCATATTATAGCTGATCCAGACCCACAGGTGGCCAGTGCTGAAGAGGGCGTTATGTTTCTTACTTACACAGGCACCTTTTTGCCAGACTAGTGAGCTGAATTTGCTCAGGAAAAAATCAGAAGGGCTTTTTTTCTGGCTCACTCTTTCTTTGCCAATTCAGTAAGAATTGAATCAGCCCCAGAACTCTTAAGAGGGTTTGTTTTGGGAGTGCATAGCTCTCCTGCTTTTGGTTGCAGTTGATGGGCTTGTGCTGTTTTATAGGATTTCTCTGTATGTAGGGCTGTGTTTTAAGCTGTATGCTTTGAAGTAATCCCCCCTACCTCTCTCCCAAAAAGTATTTTGGGTATTTCTGTAATAAACCAGGTCATTTAATTAGTGTATTTTATATGAGTCCTGCAAATAGTTATACTGAAACAACTGAGGGAGGCAAAAGGAGTTTGAGGGGTGGAGGGAGAAGAAACAGTCAGGAATGGGAAGATCTATGGCTTTTCAGTTGTAAATGCACTAGGAATCCACTTCCTTGTTCAGAGTTCTGGCTGATACTTGCTGCAGAAATGTAAAATTTATAAACAAAACATGTTTTCTAGCATTTGAATATACTACGAGGGAGAATACTTTTTTGTTCCTCTTTTCTTTCTAGGAATTCGAAGACCACAGGGATGCTGATGATGCAATTTATGAACTAAATGGTAAAGAGCTGTGTGATGAAAGGTAAGCTTGATACCACAATTTCCCTTGAGAACAGCAAAAGTGCTTTGCATCCAAATACAGTGCATTATTAGCTTGTGCTCTGACACTTGTTTCTTGTGGCTCTGTGGTAGGATACACCTTCCATAACTTTACATAAAGAGATTCATTGGGATCCTGGCTACAGCCAGGATCCTGTAAGGCAAAGAGATTCTCCTTCAAAGCTAACTCAAGGTCTTGTCACTAGAAATATTAGTAAAAGTGAATTGAACTTACCTATTTGTTATTTAGCTGTCTGTTGACTTCAGAAATAAGTTGATGATAGCCTCTCATCATTTGAAGTGTTGCCCTTCAGTTTTCAACAATGTGGACTATAGTCATTGTATGATACAGTAATTTTTATTTTGATTGTGGAAGTTGGGTTTAGGTCATTAGGTTATTGTTACTTACTTTGGTACTCTGTTCCCTCTCTGATTACTCTTGGGCTCTGGTTGAGCAAATTTAATTGTTTCAATCTGAATTACGGACCCATGACAATTTGCATGAAAGTCTGAGGGAGATGAATGATGAGACAAGAGAATACCACTGTTCTGGCTCTTTAAGAAATGCCAGTGACTGTTATAAATCATTGCTTGCAAGGCCAAGATAATTCTTGTTTGTGCACATGTGCTTCCAGTTGCGAAAGATTTAAGTCTGTGTCAAATGCTTAATTTGTGTTTTATTTTTTGTTTGCTTGTTTTGTTTTGCTCTGTTCCTGTCATAAGGGTTACAATTGAGCATGCTCGAGCCCGAAGAGGAAGGGGCAGATTCCCACAACGGTTCAGTTATTACCAGTCGCAGAGTGGATCTAGGTAGGTGCTCTGGACTTTGTTTACTACAAACAGAGTAACTGAAGAACTGTACTGAAATACTGTTTTCTTCTTGTGATTGGAGCTAGGGATCCAGCTCTGTTTCCTTGTATAGCTGCACGAAAGAAGTTTTATGTTCTGAAACCTTGGAGGTCCATTACTATTCTTTATCTCCTCTGGCTGAGGGGAATGGGGATTTTAAAGCAGTTTAACTGGCTCGCAGAGGTTCACAAACCTATTATGAAATGCTGCCTCTCCATGTTGTAGGTACTACATTGGTCTTGCTTCCTACTGTTGTGTAAATGATACAAAGGGGTAATGCTGCAGTTGGATTGGCTGTTTTTAACATTAAATCAAGAAAAATGCCAGAGCTTCTCTATTGAGGCTTTTGTCATTAAGCTGAGTTTACAGGCTAAATAGAAATATTGTAGAGCGATAGTTCAAGGTATTTACCATCTAACCAAGCTTTCACATTTCCAGTTGTGTGGTTATCGAAATGCTTACTTCAGCACAGCATACAAAAGGAACTCTATTTGAGAAACAGTGCTAGGGCACAAGATACTGGCATGTGCAGAAGTGTTTAAATACCAAGTTTGCTGACCCAGTGGGTGCCTTGCTGAAGGAGAGCCCCTGTCTGATAATGGAATCTGAAAACCAGGACATAGCTCTCATCTAGAATACCTGTAGTGGACATACAGTATTTGTGGAGTTGTTCACTTTCAGTCATTTGAGCCAGTGGTGAACCTTGTGCCAGCTTGCAGTGGAATTTGTGAAAGTGCTGCAGATTTGCTTATATTCCACCAAACAACTACACATTACATCTTTGTACGTTATATCTACCTGTGTGAAGTAAATATGTATGGAATAATTTACTCTGTAGCAACATTTATAGCTCTGGCCTATGTGGAGTAGAGTTTGGAAGAAAGACGAAGACTTAACTGACATAAACCTCTGCATTTGTTTCAAAGTCAGAATTGCTGCCAGTTACAAAGCAGTGTCTGGAGCATCTAATTTGCATATGCAAGTATGCTAATTAGATTGTTTTTTCTTTAGTGGCAGTAACCTTGATGCGGTATAATTGGTCCGAGGTCCAGGCTAAAAGTGGACTTTTAAAGTAGGAAGTGTGATTGAAGGTCGTGGGCATCTGACGTTGTAGTCATGTTCATGACGTCAGACTGCCGATGCCAGACAGGAAGAGACTGCGGTTTGCAATAATGGAAAAATGAGACTCAACCTGCCAGTTTTGGGACTCTGGGACCTCTGTTTAAATGCCCGGAAGATCTGGATGTTCTGAAAAAAATTGGGACACTTTGAGGTATGCACTGAAATGAAATTGCCTATGCTTCAGTGTACAAATCAATACACACAATTTAGGATTATGTTTCTATGGGAGGAGAAGATGAGAATAACTTAAGGTCAGTGTTCTTGATTCTTGAATCTTTTTGTAGTAATACAAAGTAGTGCCATTGTTCGAATCCTGCATTACTTATCAAAAGGCTGGCATACCTTTTTCCATAGTTCTCAGATCCCTTTGGATTCAGTATGACTAGGATTGGGAACAGAAATGAACTGCAAGGGCGCTATTCTTTCCAGATGTCTTATTCTTCTGTATGAACATTTTCAAGTCACATTTTCATTTTTGAGAGAGTCTTTAATTTTTGGTTACGTGGAAAACGTTAGCTTTCATTCAGGAACTGTAAACTGTCGGTTATTTCAAGGCAACCAGTTATCTAGCTCTCATTTTACTAAAATAAGAATGTTTCTACTCACAGAAATATCTAATATAGGTCATGATGGCATTTATAAATTCTAACATATGATTTGGAATTTAGAAGCATGAACTAAGATGCCTTCAAATTGTGCCTTCTGTCTCCCTGACATGAAGCAGAATTTATCCTTCCAACTAAAAAAAAATTTTAAATTGCCCTTTACATTAATACCCTCCAAAACTGTATGTGTGAGCCAAGCCTGTCAAATACTAAAACCAGACTAATTCTCCCTACATTATTTTCATTCTACTTGGCACTTATTTCAGCGTACCTAGAAAAAATTGCAGCTATATTGACTGCCGTGGTAAAAAGTTCTTCATCAAAGACCTTTTTATTCCCCTTGTAGCAGCTCTCTTCTTGTAGTGGCACTCTTAAATATGTTCTTGACTAGGGAGAATCAAATCTGCAGTCCAGCAACAAGGAAAATCAATAAATCTCTCAGGAAACTGTAGAAAACATCAGATTTCTTAAGTTCTAAATTCCTTACACTGGAGACTTTTTCCTTTTTTTTTTTTTTTTTTTTTTTTTTCCCCCCTCCGAACTCTTCTAGCCGGTATGGACCTCCTGTTCGTACTGAACACAGGATCCTAGTTGAAAACCTTTCATCCCGTATCAGCTGGCAGGTGAGTTAACATCTTATCTTCTCTTTTTACACCTTATTTTCCCACCTGTAAGTAGACTGCTCTCAGCCTAATTTCTTAATAAAGCCATCATAAATATTTAACCTGAATAAAAAAATAAGCAAAAAAGCTTCAGTGATTGCTAAAAATTGGCATTCAAACACTTAAAGAAGTCTCTTGTTTCACACCTGTGCACATCATTCTGTAATTAGATTTTGTAGTTGGGAATTGATTCTTGCTTACTTGTGTTTACCAACTGATAAAACTTTTGAAGACTCTAGATTGTTTCTAAATTATTGAAGCATAGCATCCATTCAAACTATGTCATCCTTTTGTATTGTTAAACCTGGAAGTGCATGCCTTTGTTTTGAGTGAAATTTATGGTCTTTTCTTATGTTTTGCAAAATATTTTTGTGAAATGATGCATGATTGAGAAGTCTAGTAGTACATCATTAGTAAAGGGAATCGTAAGGAAGCTTCTGTGTAAAGTATGCTTACTGTAGATGTTTCTAAAAAAAACCCAAACTTTTAGTAATTGTCTTTTGAAGCTTTCTTACCACCTTCCTTTTTTTTTTTTACCCCTTGCTAATGTTTTGCTAATTTTTAGCTGGCTTTTAACAGAACAACCATATAATCAATTCCTTTAGTTGTGTTCTGCATAGTATACAGTCTACAGAAAGTTTACTTTTTAAGGGTGTAGCAACAGATACTATTTATAAAAGGTGAGTGAATAGTGGAGTTTAGTCTTGTTCATTAATCTTTATATTCTTTGAATAAAGAGACTTTAATTAGTGTACTGAAAGATGCAGTAGAAGATGTTGAATGTTGAAAGCCTTGGTCTTGCAGCTAAATCCACATGAGGAGGCTGTTTGGCTTGCCTGGAGGTCCGCTGGTGTGTTTCATAAGAGCCTGGGTACAATCCATGCAGATAAACGGTTGAACTAGGTTTGTTTATCTTCTGCATGACAGGTTCAAAAGGTTCATAATTGTACAGTTGTGTTAATTATTGAATAACTAAAAAAACAACTTCTGAGTTGATGTGATGAGCAAGTGGATTTCATCTAAGTATCTTCAGGGTATGCTATGCAATTACGTATATGGAGAGATTGTTATAAAACACAGTGCTTGAAAATGACAGTAGGAACCAGAGAAGTAAGCTAGAATGGAGTGTTAAGGAGAGTAAATCCTATAATGCTGTTCAGTGTTAATTCATAACTTGAAAAAAATTCAATGTTTCTGTAACTTGTGAATATTTATAATGGCTTTATGTGTACTTACCATTTTGGACTGAAGCCCACCTGATTCAGATTTCATGCTGATAAATCTTTAGGATTCTAATTAAATGTTTTAATGACTTAAATACATGATAAGTTAGCATAAGAGACTTCACTTCTTGATACCTGCCTAAGTAGAAATCATTTGAAGCTAACATCCATATGCAAGCCTCATTTAGTTTTGAAGCTGTACTGCTTTGATACTGACTATAACTTGTTTTAACTATGCTACTTACACAACAGATGAAAATAGCTAATACATTAACAGTAGTGGCATTATTCTTCCTTTCTAATCCCTGAGCTTCTAGCAAGGACAGTCACTACGGAACCTTGCTTTAAAACTTAGGCGCATAATTTCTTCTTCGGTGTGTGCAGATCCCCATGCTTTGAGAACTTCTGTCTCCTTTAAAAGTTACTGTGTTGGGATATTTAAAAAACAAAACAAACAAACCACAAATAAAATTTGTATTCAGATCAGTTTCCTCAAATTATTGACTATACTGTTAATAGACAATCTCATATCTAAGTAGTAGACAAACTGTGAGAATTCTCCTTATTTTAGCAAACATGTATTTCTGCATGTTCAGAGCTTTCCAACCACCCTCATTAGCTCTTCAGTATCTGTGAATTTTCAAGCAGTGGGGAAAAGCAGATCTGTGTTATGTCAAGATGTAATTTTTAATATGTGTTTTTCCTATTTATGGTTGTCCTACACCTTATTTTCCTTTGCTGCTAAGGACAACAGGCTATTCTTATGCTATTTAAGGTGAACCAGAACAGTAAACTTAGGATAAAATTTGACTGTTCCGCTGGTTAAGTAAAACCAGATAACCTTAAAACGTTCCCCTAATAATAGCAAATATTCTGTTGAGCTTGCATAACACATGCACACTTACTCCCTTTTGAGCAATAATGTTGGCATCTTAATGATGTTGACATTACTATTACAAATGCTAGTTCATGATGATGATCCTTAGGATTCAGCGTGTAGTGTGGCGAGTCTGTGGGGGCCTCAATTTTAACGCTTAAAGTTTATTGAATTAGAAAATAATTCTGTAGATTAACATTTTCTAACTTCCTTTTCACTTACCAGTCCTGGTCTGGTTAAGCTGTCATTGACTTGAGCAGAGCCAGAATTTTGTTCTTCATCTCTAAACTGGGATAAACATACTGAGGTTGAAGTATTACTTTTAATGGTGCTGTGGGGCCCATTTTTATTTGCTATTAAGGTTTCTTTGTGTTAAGCACACGTGAAACAAGGAAAATACCTACTAGTTTGCATATGCCAGTTTTAAAAATAAAACTATAGAATTTTAACTGAAAGATCAGATAAAACCAAGCCTTCTTATATTCTGTGGGAAATGTTCTAAAGCTTTTCTTGGCTTTTTGTTTTGTAGTCTTTTCTTCCTTAAGCATATTTCTAACCAAGTGCATTTTGAACCTCTTCTAACAACCTTGATTTGGTTAACCCTCATTTTTCTTGTGTGGAGGAAAAAGAACCAAAGACTTGGGGGTTTTGTAGTGGCTGAAATTCTAGGGTTTGGCCTGTTCTGAATTTTCCTTTTGGTTCCTATGACACTCCTGTTTTTTGGCGATCTAGATCTTGGTTTGCCTGGGTTTGATCTCGATTGGCTAGCGCAGATCATCCTCGGGTTCTTTAGCCACTTCTGGAGACTATGTCCAGTGCTTTCAGGGCCTCTGGTACCTCGGTGAAGCATATTGCTATGAGCCATCACTGCCTTTCTCATGTAAGAGAGTTCCTCTTGGCCAGCTAGGTATTGGACAAGCAACTCTTTGCTTAAGGTACCTTCTTATATCATCTGCCACTTGTGGTGTCTTGCGGTAAGTAGTCTGGGATTATAAAATACCAGATACTGTTTGGTAAAAGTGCTGCTTTAACTTATACCAATGTTTAGCTTTTTAGTGACCTTTTACATTATTTGTTTGTACTTTATCCTATTCCCGAGCAAGTAATTTTGCAGTGTCTGCGTGTTTAGCCTCTAAGTTAAATACAAGGGTGTCTACTGACGTGGCACTGTAGTGTGACAGATATTCAAGTGACATATAAGATTATTTTTTTCCCTCTGTAAAATTACTAATTATATAGTAATTACACCTTTTTGCTATGAAGTTGGGGGAGGTGAGCATATAGAGTAAATTCGTCAACATATATTGGGTTGTCATTTAACGGGGGTGTTAGTCAGGAAAATTTGCATTTAATACTACGTTGCTTTTCATCTGTTACAGTTCTGATTTCACTACATATGTTGGTATTTTAAGTTGCATTGTGTTTTCATAACAGCTGGTTTGGGGATGCAGGATTATTTTAAAAGTATTCTATTCACTGTAGTTGTAAAAATGAGGGATCCTTTCTATATGCAGCTGCTATCACATAGGCTGTTTCAGAAACTTTTTTCTAAATTATATGTTTTTATCTATATAAAAAAATGTAAAAGCATTAAGCAGTTTTAGCAGAGAAAGTTTTAGTTACTTTCTCTTTAATTACTTTACTTTATTACTGTTAGTAATAAAAAAAAGTTACTTTAATTACTGGTAGGTGACTCATTTGTGTCCTGTATAAGGCTAAAATGTTAACTTCTGCTGCAGGACTTAAAAGATGTCATGAGAAAGGCAGGGGAGGTCACCTATGTGGATGCACACAGAAACAACAGGAATGAAGGGTAAGTTCATTTTGTGTCTAAGTCTGTATTGTAACTAAAACTGTTAAAATGAAGATTATCCTTGTAATATAAAGGAAAATAAACATAAATCTGTGGTGTGGCTTAGATGCTGAAATTCCTCCAATTTAAAAAAAAAAAAAAACCAAAACAACACAAACTGTCAGTTTACTGAGTTCAGACGTGGTATTGAACTTAGTCTACGCTCTCTACCGCGAAAACAATGTGTCGGATCAGAAAGGGAAGGGAGAATACCTTTCAACAGTTGAGTTCTGCTTGCTGTCTTTAAATTTAGTTATTTACATATAATCATTTATGATCTGACTCCTGAGGCTAAAATACCTCTTGTCTGTGGCTGCTTTGCACTGGTTCAACAGTCAAAGTCATGGGGAATGAACATAACCCATCTCCATAGGGAATACCTAGCTGCCTGCTCTCCTTCTTAATTCTACAGACTACAAAGGTCCTGCACAACCAAGCAGGAGAGAGGGAAGTATGAATAGAGTGTCTGTGCTGGCAAAACAGTGTTCTAGGGCCACTGCAAGAAAAGGCAACTTAAAACTAAACTTTTTTTGAGGGGAAAAAAGATATAAAAAAAACAAAGCGGGGATTTTTCTATTCACAGTTAAAAATCTAAATAGGGCAGGAGAGTCTGCAAGTTTATTTTGTTTCTTGGACAGCTTTAGAATGCAATTTAGTGGAGGACTGAAAGATATTTCCTCAGCTGGTGCAGGTTTGTGGTAGCTTCCTGGATTTTCTCCATCTCACTGCAGATGATAGTTCTGGTAATGCTTAGGAAGATGGGAAAGGTATGGGTGGCTAGGACTGTTAGTGTTATATTTTCCTGTTAACCAAGTTAAAAATTAGCTTTCAGAAGATAAAACATCAAGCTGTGAATCAACAGATTGAAAAAGGCCCAAACTTCTTGTCCTTGCTTTTTCAGTTTCTCTGAAACTTTTTCTTTTTTTCCTGATGGTATGCAGGGTTGTGGAATTCGCGTCTTACAGTGATATGAAGAGTGCACTGGAAAAATTGGATGGCACTGAGCTGAATGGACGCAGAATTAAACTGACTGAAGATCACAGAAGGCATAGGTATGTCACCTGACCTGATAAAATTCTGCTGAGGGCATAGATTTGGGTAGTATCAATGCCAAAGTTTTATTATCTAATTTTTTGGCCCCAAGCAAAGTATCACCACACAGAACCACTTTCTAGCAGTGTAAACAGATTTAGATAAGAACTAACTTGCTGAAAACAGGGTAAATAGAACACTTTTGGATGCAAGTAAGGAGATTAGGTTTTTTAAAGAAAAAATTTGATACTTAAGTGAAAGAACTTTTTAAAAAAAGATGAATTTTGGTATTAAAAGCATTTTAATATAATGGAAAGCTGCTTCACAGTCCTGTGAAATGTGTCTCAAATAGTTGTGAAAGCCAACCTTTTCATGAGAATAAAAGAAAACCATTAGTTTGCTTGCATTATTCCCAAAGCAGTTCTGCCATTTAGTTGTTAAAAAAACATGTTAGCTGCAACTCTTTCATTGTCTCTCTTAAAAATAAATTATTTATTTTCATGAAAAAGGGATGCATAACTAGAGAAGGAATTAAACTCTCAGGCCTTAAAGTGTGCTGGTGTTCCATGCCTTTAGAGACTTTTAGCATCTTGAAAGAAACCCTAACTAATTTACACAGGCATTTCTAGAGAGAATAAATACCACAGGTATGAATTTTAATTCCTGTGATTTTCTTGATAAATGGCTAAAAATTTGTTTGTCTCATCCTGGTGGGAGCAGGAGGAAGGTATCTTTTATTAGGCAGTTCATATTTTGCCGAGTTAGCAGAGAATGTCAAGGAACTGCTGGCCTTGGCCTACAAAGATATTGTTGTGATGGAGCATAACAGAAATCTAGCAGCACTCTGAAATAACTGAATGCTGTGCATTCAGATGCTCAGATGGATGTGCTGTGCATACAAAGTAGTTGAGAATTTAAAGCGAGTATTTTAAATTTAGGAGGAGGTGAGACTACAGCTTTTAATTGTGTTTCTCTAGAAGCAGATCTCGATCAAGGAGTTACTCAAGATCTCGCAGCAGGTCCAGGTCTACAGGATCTTCCAGATCGGACAGCCGGTCCAGGTCAAGATCAAGGTCCAGGTCCAGGTCTCGCTCTCGATCCCGGTCCCGATCTCGATCCAGGTCTCGTTCTCGTAGTCGTACACCTAAAAAGAGTTACTCCCAGAAAAGCCACCGCTCCAGCTTGCTAGCTTCTTCCCCATCTCCCTCTTCTTCTAAAAGAAAATCTCGTTCTAGGTCGAGCTCTGCTCATAGCCGTAGTTAACCTGCTCTTAGAGATGTATTAATGCATTTAATTTGATTCAAGTTTCTTGAAGACTTGAGACAAATTATACATGAGAACTGGGAGGGGAAGAGTTAACATGATGAAAGGGTAACCTCCTCTTACATTGCCAAAGTGCCTGTCATCAAATAGGCCATCTCTGTGAGGAGGGGCTGTCAGCTTTCTCCTTTCAGTGAAGTCTGGAGTGGGAAATCTTTTTTTATTTTTTCCCTGCTATTAGTAAACATTTCTATCATAGATATATTATGTATGTACACATAATGCTGAGGTAGTGGGATGAGACAATACGCTGCTTTCTCCCTCTCTTGTCCCCCACTTTCCCCTCCACCTCCAAGGCCTTTGACTTCCAAAATACTACGTTAGCTTTTGTTCTTGGTATTAAGTCACAGAACAGGAAGTATAGATTTGATTCCTTTAACGTTTTGTGGCTACTTTTCTGTGTGAGAATGAATGGACCAGCTGAATTTAGTTAAGAGTTTTCCCCATTGCTTGACATAACAGGCTGTTTAAGTTCCAGCTTTAAATGACCTTGGTAATATGCTTAATTTGCAACAGACTTTTCAGGAATACACATTGGTCAGTTGGATATTGCTCATTTGGACAGTGAATCAATACAATCTTAAGCAGTACTGAAAGCTGGAATTTCCTGTTAAAATGAGACATACCATCCAGATGTCAGGATTATTTGGGAATCCATGATAATAATTTTCCGGTAATTCACTAGTATGTGGTATTGTATGTAGAGGCCTTATTTGACAGGTGACTCCATAAAACTGCACAGAAATGTCAATATGCATGTCCATGTTTTTGATGTTTATAAAAGTGACATAGCTTTCCTACCCAAAAGTATGATACTGAATAATGTGTGTATGACTAGCAATAGTCTTGATGGAAAGAAAGGTTATTTTAGTAATGACAGCAGCGAAAAAATCCCAGGAAAAGCATAGTCAGTTGTGACAGGAAAAGTTAATCATGTTAAAGCATAAAGAGGATAATTTCTTTAAGTCTCCTGTATGCACAGATGTTCTGATTAATAGAAGTTTCCACTGCAAATACTGTTCGTTCTTATAATTTGGAATTAGATGATTTTTTTTAACTTCTGTATCGTTAAAGAAGGGAAACATTTTTGGAAAAATACGTAAATTAATCCCAAAGTCTTACCTGTGTTTAAATGTACTGTTCCTAATAAAATAAAACCTTTTTCTGGCTTACTTTGCAGTTTTGTTAGTAATGTTACTGTTGCTGCTGTTCACTTTGTACAGCCTTGCGAACATGATCACAAGGAAATTTATTTGAAGGTTTACCTGTATGGAAGCAAGCAAAATGTAAACTAGAAACCAGTTAACGACATCTAAGTACCAGATGCTGAAATAGGAGGACAGGATAGGATTTTATTGTCAAGGCCATCAGTGGCTGTTTGTATGGATGGCAAACAGTAACCTTCCTATAGTCTTCCCTTGCAGCTTTGTGTGACTCCTCCTTGTCTACCGGTTCAACAAAAGAACCAACAACAGCCAAATGGCCATGGGTGTTGGAATCTTCCTGTAGGTAAAATAGTTTTCACTTTTGAGTTACGGTATGGTTCCAGAGATTCATATATCGCCCATGCTACTTTTGTGCATTTAAGGCTTCAACGCTGACACCCTCTCTAGAGCAAGTTACTGCTGATTGTGTTCTTTGCACGTTTGGCTTGATGTGATCTGAATGTGCCAACAGTTCAGAAGGAACACGAGGAACAAATAGAAACCACTTTGCAGAGGAGTCTTACTAGATGTGACTGTTGGGAAAGCTGGGGTACGCTCAGCTGTGTTAAATGTCAGTGTTGTTTGCTTTGTTAAATTTGTTACGCTACCAAAAAGACTCCCAAAAATGGCCACTGCCAGCCTAGTACCTTTGAGATTGGCAAGCGCAGTATCAGAGACCGTGAATGCTTCTGACCAGAGCATGCTTACCTGGCAAATTGTTTAAATGTAGAGCTAATGTAGATCCTGTGAATTTTAGTAATTCTTGAATTCTTTATTGTATCACGTCATTTCCCTTCCATAATTTGCTGTTGATTCAGTCAGTAGTGGCAACAGTAAGATGAATGTAGACCAAAGAACCAGCCTCCCCTTTGCCCCCGAACACCTTGATGTTATAAGCAAGTTTATAATCGTCGTTGTGATGGCAACCGTAAATAAATACAGCTTATTTCTGAACCTAGAGCCTGGTCTACCCATAGATTTGTGTTGCTATTAATACTGGTTAGAAGTACATTTTTTTTTAAACTTATTTTAAATAGTACGATCTAACTGATAGTGTTTTAGTGTTGAAACACCTATGACAGCATTTCTTTTCTGTGCTGGCGTAGTAGGGGTTTCAACATCTTTGCCAGCACAGCTGCATCCAAGTTAACTGTAGTACTGGTTTCTAAATGTAGCAACAGGTAACTGATGACTGGAGATTGTAGGGTGGTGTTACCAATGCAATGTCACACGATGGAAATAGACTTCTCACTAATTTTTTTTACATGTTTTTCAAGCTGGCGAGCAGTGGTTCCTTGTTCCCTAAGATACACAAAGGTGTTTAGTTGAGGAAAAGGTGAGCTTTTGAAATACCGAGAATACTAAATCTGATCTTCCTCTGGGGAAAGATTTGTTTATGGTAGATGTGAACTTGGCAGCTTTCTCAATATTTATTTGAAGGGCAAGGATAGGAATCTTTAGCAGCTAAAACGTTTTCTTAATGGAGAGGTTGAGTCCTTGGTTACTCAGCTCCTAGTTGTTTCTTTTGGTATATTAATTTTGGTGCCTGGATAAACAATGGATTTTGAAGCCCAAATTTTTATTATGCATGTAACTTCTTGTCCATAGCTTTTTCAGTGTCAAAAAAAGCTTAAGCCCTAAAATGTACGTGGGGGAGAAGTCGGAAGGGTGGTCTGATTTCCACCCTCACCCCCTCCCCCCATTTCCTGCTGTGTCACCACATTTTTTTTCTTTTTTTCTTCCAGAGGACAACTATGAATAGCAGGATTTCTTTCTGCCTTTAGGAAGAAAAAAGCCCCCAAACCTCAAAACTATCCTATCAGGAAGTTCTAACAGTTTTGAGCAGGTTTCAGAGCAGTACAGCCCTGTTTGCCACATGGTAGAGTTGGAAATGAAAACTACATTTTTCACTGGGGTTTAAAGTTTTCACCTTACCTGATACGTAAAATAAGCTACAGCTGTGTACACTTAATTGCTTTGACGAAGGATAACTCATTGGGCCACTCTAAGCTGGTCATGTCTGACCTCAACTTGGAGCAAACCCAATCTGAAATTTGTAGTTTCAGGGCATGTGAGTTGGTGCAGAGGGGTTAAAAGGACAGTTCAGTGGCCTGAATAAAATACTTGCTTGGTGGTCAGCAAGTGTAGAAAAGTCTTGAGAGGGAAGAGGAGTGACTGGGGTAGACAGAAGCTGTGAAGGGGGAAAAAAAGGACAGGAGGGAGTTTTGAGTTTTGACAGGTGTCAGTTTCAGTGTCAGAGGCTGGTATTGATAGACCACAGAAGGGAATACAACCTTTATACTCATGATAACAATTCAAATTTGTGATCTTGAGATAAACAAATTGGGGAACGCACATGCTTGTTTGTTTTGCTTAAAAATATTTGGTGTTATGCTGAAGAGCTAAAGAAAACTGAAGCGGTACCTGTGTTCCTGTGAGAAGATACTATCTACGAGTCAGGTAGGCATCTTGATTAGTAGATGTAGACTTGCTTGGTAGACTCTTTAGGGAACACATTATAGTCTGAAACTTGGCTGAGCTATTAATGTATGTCAGAAACCAGATTATTTTTAAAATGGAACATTTTTAGACTCTGTTGGAACAAATAATTTATCCTTATCAGGTGCCTTAGTTCCAACTTTACAGGAATGTAAGCTCCACTTTAAAATAACCGTAAATATACTTCTTTAATGCATAAAAGTCATATCTTCTGCAGGCAGCATGTTCCAACATCTGACACTTTCCATGAGAAAGCTGGGAATCATCCCTTCCAACTGGCAGAGAGCTGCTGCTCCCAGCCCTGCAAAGCTGAAAGGAACAAAGCACTGAAGTCTTGATGCATCTACAAGTAAATCTGTCACTATTCCTACCCTTACTCTGCTAACCTGATCCTTGAAGTTTTTTTACAAATTTTTCATCAGCAAATGGAGGTGACATAAGACCATACAAATGTTAAATTTATATTTGATTCAAAGGTTCCACTGGTACCTTGGGGGTGCAGTTGGACAATCTGGCTAGGATACTCTAGCAGCTTGCTGCTGGCAAGACAAGCTACCACCCCTGTGCCTGCCCCTTGTCTTGTGCTCGCCTGATCCTCCAGAAGCCAATTCAGTTACACCAAAAAAGTGGGCACTTCGGGTCTCTTGCAATACTGCTGTTTTCCAGTTCTCTCTGGAAGTGGAATGATGACCTGGGGTATAAATCCCGTGATCCTTCTGTTTCCCCCATCACAAACACAGGTATCCTCTTTTTCCTACTTTATCCTCCCGTTCTGTTCTGCAGGCAGTCAGTCTCCGATCAGAACACCATCACTCTCCTTCTGTCCAGAATTTCTTGTGCTTCCCTTACCACAGGACATTTTCCTCCCAGGGGAAGCCTTATACTACGGCATGCAACTGCTTGCAGCACAGGGCACAGCTGGAAGTCAGCACTGCAATTAGTTGCCTTTTGGCAACTGGCTACATCCCACCCCCAAAATAAGAGCGTATGGTCTGTGATGCTTACAGCAGTTTTTTATTATTAATTACTTTTTTGTCAATTTAACATGGGGCTCCTCATCCAAGGGTTTCCTAGCAGTTTGTGAAGATGAAGTTTATTATACTTAGCCACATCACATCTCTGCTTTGCAGATGAGAAAAGGAAAGCAAGGGGCAGGGGCGTTCACCTGCAGTTGCAAAACAAGAGCGGTCAGGATGAGGAATGTGCCTGCAGCGGAGGCCAGGATTCCTCACTGAACAGGTTCAGCTCTGACTCATGCTGCTGGCTGTGGAGCCATGAAATGGGCTCAGAAGGATTTTGGTTTCTCTCAGGAGAGAAAAAGTTTCTCTTTCAAAAATGAGGTGAAGTAGCAGGAGGAAGAAACTCCCTGGGATCTGTACCCGCAGCACTCTGCCATTGCTCTAGCAGAGAGGGTCAAGGACGACGAGTTCTGAGGTGGGAAGTTCTCAGCTCTGCCTGCTCCTCCTGCTGCACCCTAATCGTGGAGCCGAGTGCTGTACAATTCCGAAGTGGCTTTAGTTTTCTTGCTAAGGGTTTTGGAAGCATGTAATTTCCAGTCCATTTCCCTCATTCCCCCTCCTTAGCCATTGTTTGCTGGAAGACTAAATGCTCTGTGCATATAGTACCTGAGGGCATGTTTCCCATTTTACCAGCCCTACGCTCAGTTACCCCTCCACCCCCTCTCTCTGCAAACCTGCAAAAGAGTTGTTAGCCTTTCACCCTGGGGGTGATTTACTAGGACAGTAACACCGGTTAGCTAACAGTTATGCCTGTGGAGGGCTATATCTGGGGGAGCAGCACAGTGCAGGGTAAAGGAGGGGATACAGCAGGAACACTGACTACCCATAAGGGAGCCATTCAGGCCTTGGGTAGAGTCAGCACCAAGAGGAAAGTGCAAGGGTTAACAGGCTGGGAGCCTGGGTTAGAAACAAGGGCAAATTATATGCTGTAGTGAAATCCTAGCTAATGGCAGCTCTGTGTGTCTGGGTAGTCTCAAGATGTTCAAGGGACAATCACTACTATTGATTTACTGGGCCTAGGACCATGAGGGAGCGATGAGGGAGAGAAAAGTGTATGGTAAAACCTGCTCTTCAAGATTAATGAAGGGCTTAAAATAAAAGACAGTTTCACTGGTAATGTGTTGTGTGACGGCTTTTTTCTGTAACAGGGATGAATGTCTTCTCTCCCTGTTCTCTCCTTTTCCACCCTAGAAAACCCTTGCACAGTGTGGCATTTAGCAGGGGCAGGTTGAGCTGGAAAGATCCCGATCAATATGCTTAGAGTAGATACAGAACTGCTCTGTACGTGTGTA